GTAGAGACGGGGTCTCGCTCTTGCTCAGGCTGGTTTCGAACTCCTGAGCTCAAACAATCCGCCTGCCTCGGCCTCCCAGAGTGCTAGGATTACCGGCGTGAGCCACCGTGCCTGGCCAATTTATTCATTTTTTTGAGACAAGAGACTCACTCTGTCACCCTAGCTTGAGTGCAGTGGGGCAATCATAGCTTGCTGTGGCCTTGAACTCCTGGGCTCAGGCGATCCTCCTGCTCCAGCCTTCTTTTTTTTTTATAAAATATTTTCTATTCTTCCTCCTAAGTATTCTTTCCATGGGACTGCCTCAGCCTTCTGAGTAGCTAGGAGTAGTAGAGGTGCACACCATCATGCCTGGCTAATTTTTTTTGTAGAGAGAGGGTCTCATTATGTTGCCCAGGCTATTCTTGAACTCCTAGGCTCAAGCAATCCTCCCGAGTTGGCTTTCCAAAGTGCTGAGATTACGGGTGTGAGCCACCATGCCCGGCCTTTACTTTTTTTTTAGGGCCAGGTTCTCACTGTGTTGCCCAAGCTGGAGTGCCTGATCATAGCGCACTGCAGCTTCCAACTCCTGGCTGAAGTGATCCTCCCACCTCAGCCTTCTGAGTAGTGGGGACTACAGGTGCATGCCACCACACTTGGCTAATTTTTTTATTTTTTGTTGAGACGGTGTCTTGCTATCTTGCCCAGGCTGGAGAAGGCTCTTTTTTTTTTTTTCTCCTTTATTTTTTGACATACTTTATTTTTTATTTTTTTTATTTTGTTTCATTTTCCACTGCAACAGACACGTAACATGGAGAAGGCTCTTTTTTACTGAAGAATTTTAGCTAATATATAAGGAAGAAATAATACAATTTTAATATTACCATTTTGCAACCCTTCATGAAATTACTGAATTAGTCAAAGCTTATCTGTGGGCCAGGTGCGGCGGCTCACACCTGTAATCCTAGCACTCTTAGAGACTGAGGTGGGAGGATTGCTTGAGTTCAGGAGTTCGAGACCAGCCTGAGCAAGAGCGAGACCCCGTCTCTACTAAAAATAGAAAAATTAGCCAGGTGTGGTGACATGCGCCTGTAGTCCCAGCTACTCGGAAGGCTGAGGCAGAAGGATCGCTTGAGCCCAGGAGTTTGAGGTTGCTGTGAGCTACAATGACACCACTGCACTCTACCTAGGGCAATACAGCAAGACTTTGTCTCAGAAACCGCCCCCCCAAAACCAAACCAAACAAACAAAAAAGTCATCCGTGGATGAAACTGTCAGTTGGAAGGTTGATGGAGAAAATCATGAGGGAGAGGTCAGGTTACGGTCATCTGAAGTGCTCAATCTCAACTTTACTCAGGGACAAGCAGACAGCATGTGCCGCCTGAAGGGGTGCAGTAGGAAGCACACAGCACTCATGAAGGAATCTTGCTCTTCCAAAATGGAATGTGAGTCCAATCAAAGCTTCAGAAGTTTGATAAGTGAAAGTACAAGGGATGAAGGAAAAAATTAAATGACATTGAGGAAGCAAATTGACAAATCCAGAGAGTGGAACATTCTACAGGACAAATAACTGCATAGATGTGGTTAAAAAAGAAAAAGAGGAGAGGAGGTGGACTACTGTAGATTAAGAGACTTAAGAGACCAGCTTGGGCAACATAGTGAGACACTATCTCTACAAAATATTTAAAAAATTAGCCAGGTGTGCTGGTATATGCCTGTAGTCCTAGCTGCATGGGAACCTGAGGCAGGAGGATCCCTTGAGCCCAGGAAGTCAAGGCTGCAGTGAATTATGATTGGGCCACTGCACTCTAGCCTGCGTAAGACTCTCTTCCCTCAAAAAAAAGAAGACATCAAATGCTATGTATAGATTTTCTTTGGATCCTCATTTGAACAAATCAACTATAAATAAGACATTTTTGATGAAAGTTGACTATTGACTGGATATTAGATACCAGAGTGATTGTTAATTTTTTGGGTGTACAATATCATAATAAAATGTTCATTTTAAAGATGAGATGTACACTTAATAATGTAGTTTTATGGATGTCATGATGTCTAGGATTTGCTTTAAAATATTTCAGCAAAGGAAAGGAAAAGAAAAAAGGAACAGAAGAAGCAACTGTGGCAACATCTTTTTTTTTTTTTTGAGACAGAGTCTCGCTCTGTTGCCCGAGCTAGAGTGCCATGGCGTCAGCCTAGCTCATAGCAACCTCAAACTCCTGGGCTCCAGCGATCCTCCTGCCTCAGCCTCCCAAATAGCTGGGACTACAGGCATGTGCCACCATGCCCGGCTAATTTTTTCTATATATTTTTAGTTCTCTGGCTAATTTCTATTTTTAGTAGAGACAGGGTCTTGCTCTTGCTCAGGCTGGTCTCGAACTCCTGACCTCAAGCAATCCTCCTTCCTCAGCCTCCCCAGAGTGTTAGGATTACCGGTGTGAGCCACCATGCCCGGCCTGTGGCAACATCTTGGTAACTGTTGGAACTGGATGTTGGGCACATGGGGTTCATTAAACTATTTTTGTGTGCTTTTGAAAATGTCTATAAATAAAAAAATTTAAGCATTATATTATTGATCAGAAATCCTAAATAAAATATAACAAAATAATCCCATTCTTTGACATATACTGGGATTATTTTACTTTTTCCATCAGATAGAATATTTCTTAGAGAAGCAAGTGAAAGTAAAATAAACTTCTAACTATAAATGAATGTGGCCCTCATCCCTCAGTCTTTAACTTTATCTTTTTTTTTAATTTTAGGAAGGTGAGGGGCGAGTCTTTAACTTTCTTAACATCTCATCTAGGCGGTACATTTTCTTTCCACATGGAGGAAAGTGGGGCTTTCCCACTCACCCAGGGACTGCTCACATTCTTTTCACAAGCATCTGCCTTGGGGCTATTTTCTCACATAATTTGCCACAGGAAGTGCTCACTGCCAGCCAGGGACAGGCTTCCCAACTGCATTTTACATACCTGCTCCGTGTCATGGAGGACAGTATCCTGCCCACTCCATCTTAGAAATATAAAACAGATTTTAAAATATCTTATGGCACTCCCCTCCTACTCTGTTATACCTATGAAGAGCAACCTGTTTTTCTGTGGCAAGAAGGAATGTCAAAGAGAAGAGGATTTGATTTGCCTAAGTCAGAATTTCCCAGGGAGTGAGCACACCAGCTCTCCTCCCAAAACTCATTCCCAGCCTCACAAGTGTACTGGGGAAAACAGGCATGAAGATGTGCGTTGACAGAACCACAGAGACTCCACAAATGTTCATTCTCTTTCATTAAAAACTTTAAGTCACAAACATTTTGGCTCATAAATAGTCAAGGAGCGTGGTGCTACTTCCTAACCCCAAAACCAAATATCCTGTCCTCCAAGGACTTTCACCAGCCCTGTTCAAACCAGCATCTTCCTTCAACCCCAAAGAGGAAGCTCAGCCTTCCCCAGTTCCCTGAGTTCACATTTATTAAATTCTACGGGCCCACCAGCCGGCCTACGACAGGACCAATCCATGTCCTGGGAGGGCGGAAAGGCCGGTGGCCAGACCCGCCACGTGGAAAGGAAGTGTTCTCAGGACTTCCCATGCCCAGAGGAAGCTGGGCTTTTAGTCATAACGGAAGTGATTTCCCCATCAACGGGAAGTTGAATTTATAAAATGCTGGAGCCTAAAGGAAGATGGAACTGTCTTTTAGGCACCGCTAGCATATCCTCTACAGACCCTGGTCCTGAAGGCTGTGGCTAGGCGGGCCTTCTACCCCTGTGGCAGGGGCACAGCTCAGAGTATCCCATAAACACTGATTTTGGCCACAGAGATGCTCTCTGTGTAGTGGTTCCGGCCTTTCTCATACAGGACGTAGAGCTGGGGGGCCTCCTCCTCTCCACCCATGCTGCCCTCCAGGGCTGCCAGGGACGAGTAGCCGCTGGGCCCTGGCCACAGCTGGACCTTCTCTTTCTGCCATGAGGTACCATTGCTGAAGCTCCAGCGCAGGGTCAGGTTCACTCCTGGGGAGAGCAGGAGGGTCAGGGAAGTAGGGTCTCTGCCCAGGCCTTATCTAGACACAGGGGCTCCCCCTTGTTGACCCCACTGTCAGGCACTCACGGAACTCTGGATGGGCTGGGTTGGAGAAGAAGACAATGCCGGAGCTGGTGGCTACGGCTCCTGCAGCTACCACAGGGTCCACAAGCTCAGGGTCAAAGGTCACATCACGGGTTCTTAGGGTATCACAGGCGTCATAGCTGCGGAGGACGATTCGGCAGTGGCAGTGGTAGTTGTTCTGGTTCCGGGCATTGATGACGACTGAGCCGTCTGGGAGCTCATAGGGCTGAGGGGAGAGAACAGGACCTCACAGAGGGAGCAGGTCAATGCCCAGGTCCCTGAGGGAGCAAGCCTGGGTGGCACAGAGTGGGGCAGCCAGCAGTGGATCTGGAGGACAAGGCAGGTCAAGCGGGTGGGGAACATTTCATGGACTCCTGACCTGACATTCATCAGGGTTGAAGTCTTTTTCCCGCTTGGGCTGGCCGTAGGGGATGCCTCTGACCCCAACCCCGTAGCGCCAGGAAGCACCGTGGTCATCACTGAGGAGACAGAAGACCCCATCCCGCTCCACCGTCCCATGGCCACATACGATGAGGCGGCCCTTTCTCGGCTCCCGCTGTTTCTGTGGGAAGGGGAGCTGGGTGTCAGACAAGGAGACGTGGTAGGGGCTCAGAGGCAGGGACGGGGAACCCACCACCTCCCAAGTGCAAGGACACGTCTGGTCCCCTTCAGTTCTGCCCTTGCTCCCTGAGGGTTCCAGAAGGATCCTACAAACACACATTGCTTGAATTAAGCATCTCTTTTTCAGAATAAGCTACTTTAGGACATTCAGGGTGTGCAGCTGGACACGTTGTGCACAAGGGGGTCTAGCCACACGGGTGCATGAGAGCTTAAACCTGACCTGTGCTCACTCTCCAAACTGTGCGTCTTGGTACAGGCTTGTGTCTGCCCAAAGCAAGGGGTGCCTTTTTCTACTTTGCATGAAAGTACCTAATGGACTTGCGCAGTCCCGTTGACAACCCCAAACAGGAAGCTAATGGCAAAGTTCCCTCTTCTTCCCTCTTCACCTGGTAGGGTGTTCCTCCCAAGATGTCTCTTTCTTTCTTTCTTTTTTTTATTAAAGACAGGCTCTTGCTATGTTGCCCAGGCTGGTGTGCCGTGGCTCCTGGCTTCAAGTGATTCTCCCACCTTAGCCTCCAGAGTAGCTGGGACTATAGGCGCGTGCCACCACATCTGGCAAGGATGTCCTTTTCTTTCAAGGAATCCCACCCAAGACAGAAAATCTGACTTCACAGCATCTCCCCTTGGGAAAGAGTCCATTTGGGGGCATCCCTCACACTCTCCACGAGGCAGCCCCCTTCCTCCTATCTCCCACGACAGAGACCTGAATGCCAGAGCCTGGTCCAGGGGCAAACATTTCAGTGCCAATATCCAGGGAGAGATTCCGTGGTGGGCTCCAGGAAACGCCATCATCCTTGCTCCATACCAACATGGTGGAGGACACCAGGCAGCCAGCCTTGTGAGCACAGAGGGAGTAGAAAAGAAATACCACTCCTGTCTCAATATCGCTCACCACTGCCCCCAGGTTCAGCCCGTCGGGGGTCTCCCCGTCATCTACAATGAACTCTGTAGGGGACCACGTGCTGCCTGAAAAAAGGTGAAGAAGAAGAAGAAAGCCAGTGTGAGCGTGGCGGATGTGCCCTTTCTACCACTTCCTGTTCATTTCCCATCTCCAATGCTCTGGGTTCTCTTCTGAACGAAGAAATCTTTCACCTTTTACTAAGGATTTTCCTGGCGAGGAACAGTTATGAGTTAATAACCAAATTTTTTAAGGCCTTGTTTAGGCAAGGCTAAGTTAAAAAAAAATTCCCACCTCCTGCTAGGGACCTGAGGCCTTACCATAGCCCGGCGTGCAATCAAACAGGAGCACTCCCTATACCTCTTGCCTGGTTTTATATTGCTCCATTGCATTTATCACCTTCCAACACAAAAAATAAATTTACTTATTTATTATGCCTATTTGCCTCCTCCCAACAGAATATAAGTCCTGCAAGGGCAGAGATTTTGGTCTGTTTTTTTAAATGGCTCATAGAATCTAGAAGATCAATGTCTTGTATATAGTAGGAACTCAATAAATGCTTGCTAGGCTGGGCGTGGTGGCTCATGCCTGTAATCTTAGCACTCTGGGAGGCCAAGGTGGGAGGATCACTTGAGCTCAGGAGTTTGAGACGAGCTCTGAGCAAGAGCGAGACCTCGTCTCTACTAAAAAAAGAAAAATTAGCCGAGTGTAGTGGTGCATGCCTGTAGTCCCAGCTTCTAGAGAGGATGGGGCAGGAGGATCGCTTGAGCCCAGGAGTTTGAGGTTGCTGTGAGCTAGGCTGACACCACAGCATGCTAGCCCAGGCAACAGAGCAAAATTCTGTCTCAAAAAAAAAAAAAAAAAATGCTTGCTGAATGAATGTTTAACAACTCCTTGGTGACCCCAATTTCCAGATCACTGCAGTAGACACTTTCCCTCCTTAGGTTCCCCCTACCTTTCAGGGACCCAGGTGTCCAGTCCTCCAAGTTCCCCTATCCTCAGGGCCCTTGGGCCCCTCCAACTCCCCACCCATCCAACCCAGCACGGCATCTTTATACCTTGGTCCATGGACCTCCGTAGGGCGATGAACTTGGCCCCTTTATCAGATGAAGACATTTTTCTGGCCTCAGCAAAGGCAAGGAGAGTGCCCTGAGGAGTGGTTGTGATGAGCGGGATGCGGAAGGTGTCCACTGAGCCGATCTGTCTCCCGCTTACCCACAGCAGTTGCTCCATGGTCACCAGTGGCTGCACCTGTCACGGGAGGAGACACGGACAAACCTGTCTTGGGGTTGTAGGATGATATCCACTTGAACTCAGGTACGGATGGCAGAGGGAGGGTAATGGGGATCCTGAGCAGGGGCTGGGGTCCTAGAAGAGTTTGGAGCCAAGCTGGCAGCTCAGAGCGGGGGAGGGGCTACGAGAGGAGAAGAAGCCCTCAGGGAGGGAAGGGGACCCCAAAGGAGGATGGGGCTCGAACGGTGAAGGTGGGAGGCCCGGAGAGGGAGAGAGGCTGGGAGTGGATGGAGGGAGCTGGGTCTGGAAGAAGGGAGAGCGACCTGCGCGGAGAGCGGCTCAGTCGTCCGCGTCCCGGGGGGCACTGGGCTTGGACTACCCGCGCGGTTCGGGGTTGGGGCTATGCGGGAGGTGACTCACGAGACCGAAGTCGTCCTTAGCCCTCGTCCGGAATTCTGCCGGAGACAACAGCAGCAGGAAGACCGCGGCTAACGCCTGAACCGCACAGCGTCCCCAGAAGCCCAGCATCCGCGGTCCCCGGGGTTTGCGCAGGAGCGCTGTGCCGGGTCGCTCCCCCGTCATCTCTCCCCTCAGCCCGGGCCGCTAGACTACACACCGTGGGAGTCGGTCAGCTGACCCGGACCCTTTAAAGCGGAGATTCACGCTTCAATACGCCCCTGTTCCTCCCCGCCGCGCTGCCGCGACTCTGATTGGTCCTCGAGCGTTCCGCCTTCCCCACGTGGTAGCGCAGCGCCCCGGAGCTCGCCCTCCCATTGGCTCGCAGCGCGTGACCTGGGCGGGAAGCGACCTGGCCTGGTTGAGGACGGAGCCGGCGACAACAGTGTGACCTTTTTGATTGGCCGCGGCTCCGGGACGCGTCACAGGGGCGGGGCCGACTTTAAAGAGCCCGGCGGGGTAAGGAAAGGCCGCAGGTCGCGGTGTAGGAAATGATAGTCACAGACTTATTGAGAAAACGAAATATCAATCTTTAATAAAATACTTTTACTACAAAATTGGGATCTGTAGGGAAATAAGGCTGGGTGGCTGCACAGGCGGGTGCAGTCCTGGATCAGGGCCGGACCTCTCTCTCCTTCCCCTTCTTGTTGCCCTGGGGCGTCTCGTTCTTCTTGCCCAGAATCTTCAGGAGGGCCTTGGACATGTAGTAGGGCCGGTCCAGGGAGCCGTCGTTCCGCTCCAGGTCTTCCACTGGGCCGCCACATAGACCGGTTAGAGCGACCCTCGGGCCACCCCACTCCCGGGGAACTCCGGACTGGAGGCCAGCTGCGGGGCTGCACCGCCAGCACCCGCGGATTTTTTTCCCGGGCAGGTTTTGTAACCTACTGGGCAGGTTATGTAACCTCAGTTGCCTCATGTAAAGTGGGGTCGGTAATACTATATTTCAGGGTGACAAGGTTCAACGGAAAAAAATGCATGTTAATTGCTCAGGCAGAGCCTGACACTTAGCAAGCCCTGAATGGAGGTACGTGGTAGGGTAAGAAAATACCCTCTCACTACAGCCACCTGCTGGGAAGTCTCTCTCGCTGCTAACTTCTACCCTCGATCTCCTAGGGGAAGATAGCAGGGGCCTCTCCCCAGGACTGCTCCTTCCTGGGAGAGCCCACCAGCCTGAGGGCCCACTCACTCCTTTCTTTTCCAGTCCCTGGCTTTAGGATGTCACAAGGGGCATCCTCTGGCTCTTTTAGCTCACAAAGTCGCTGCTTCTAGAAGCACTTAATCTCCAGAAAAGCCTGAACAGTCGGATACCTTGAGGTTGGGGGGAGGTGGCTGGGGGTGTCACTCACAGAAACAGAGGAAGAGCGTATCCACACACATGCCGAAAACGCTGAAGAAGCCACTGGCGATGACATAGGCGCCCAGGATGGAGGTCTGGAAGACACAAGGCCTGTTGGGGCTGCTGGGTTCCTTTGGGGTGTTGGGGGTGAGGCAGAGAGGGGAGTCACTCACCATGATGGGCAGCCAGTAATAGTTGAGGTGGGGGTTCTCAAAGCCTTCACCCAGCCCCTGGATGCGACCGGAGAAAAAGAAGAAGGACAGGACCCCTATGGGAGAGTTGTGGAGGTCAGGGTGGCTCCTCTGAGGCCACTTCTTTGGCTGTCCAGCACCTCTACCCTGTGCCCCTGCAGCCCCTGGCTCGGCTCTTACCGACACCTCCAACCACCAGCAGCTTCCCAAAGAACAGCATCAGGTCTGTGACTTTATCCAGGACGACCACCCTGTACCGGAAGTTAGGGCAGGCTGGAGGTGAGAGGCCTGGCAGGGCTGGGAGCACAAGTGGCTACATAATTGTGGGGACCCGTGCAAAATGAAAACTGTTCACATTTCAAGATGGCGACAGCGGAGCATTAAACCAAGTGTGGGGTCCTTCTGAGCACAGTGTGCGCATGAAGCCAGCCTCGGGTGGAAGATCTGAGGAGGGAGCCACACGGGGGTGGGGGACAGCCTAACCTGATAATGTTCCGCATGAGCAGCATGAAGGCATTTTTGGCTGAGACACAGAAATTCTTCCCGTAGATGGCGATCTGAGGGAGGCAGGGAGGTCAGAGTTACCGGTGGTGAGCTTGCCTGGATCAGGATGGGGGGCTTGGGCCAACGGACACTGCAGCAAGGGGTTGCGCGCAGTGTGGCTCACCATGATGTACGCATTGCGGTTCAGGAACTTGATAAACTTTTCCAGGCACCAGAGGCAGCACTTGAAGCAGCACATGATGCAGCGGGCTATAGGGTTCTGCACTCCTGGGCACAAGGAAAGCTCATATTTGGTCACTGGTTCTGATGGCCCCTCACCAAGGATCCAGTTACTCAGCCTGGCCTTCGCAGCTCCTGGCTCCCAGCTCACCTCTCAACTTGTGGTCAATGTACTCCAAGATGACCCGGGCTATCTGCACAAGGGTCAGGATGAGGGCTCCAAATGCCAGCGACCCGGTGTGGTAACTGCAGAGGGAGTTAGATAGTCAGGGGGAGCCTCAGGACCGCTGGGACCCCCGTGCTTATAATTCCCAGGCCCCTGTCCCGGGCTTACCGGAGTGTGCGGATGAAGGCAGAGCTCAGGGGGAAGGTGGGGATGTCCCTGGGCTTGTGGAAGGCCCAGTAGAAGGAGGCGAAGGCCCCTGCTAGGACGCATTGGCCCAGGGCCAGTACCCAGTTAAGGGTCCAGAAGAGCCCCAGGACCCCATAGATTTGTAGGTTGAAGATAGAACGTTGTACTAGGCCTGTGGACAGGTAGCCCTGGAAGACGCACATCAGCCCTGGGCACGAGGAGTTCACTGGCTCGGCCTGGGTGAGGGAGAGGGTAAGCTCAGGCCCAGCCTTGAGAGACCTCAGCCTGGAGCCCTGGCCTCCTCCCTTTCCCACCTAGCTCCTGCCCCTCTAGAGCAGAGGCGGGTAACAGCCTCCCTGAGCTGGGGGAGCCCATTCCTTCCAGGAGTTCCATCTCTAGGCTGAAACTGGGTTCAGTCTGCCTATTGTGTGAATGTCATTAGCTCCCTCCAGTCTCCCCATGATGAGAGCTCCCAGGCTGTGTGGGCCCCGCCTTCATGGTGTTCACGGTGGGCATGAAGGCGGCATGACCTTCTCTGTACACTCACTCAGCAATCCCCTCCTAGAGCAGCCTCTGCGACTTCTACCAAAACCCTTTCCAGCAAATTGAACAGACTGGGTATTTGATGACATTAAGGAATTAGTGTTAATTTTCTTGGGTGTGATAATGGTATAGTGGTTATGCTTCTTAAAAGGTTCTTATCTGTTGAGATCCATCCTGATGTACTTACTGGTGAAATGGCATGATATCCAGAATTTGCCTTAAAAAACTTGAGAAAAAGAATTTATAGGTGGAGGGTAGGGAGATAGATGAAATAAGAGTGGCAGAAAGTTGAGGGAATCTGAGTACAGGGACTCACTGTACAATCAGTCTACTTTTGCATGTGTTCATAATAAAAGTAAAACCACAAAAATAAAAAACAACTCTTTCTAGCAAATGTGACCCCCCAAATCCTGATTATTTCTGAAAGTGAGTCTATGTTTGAAATTTTATAATAAAAAATGGCCGGACGTGGTGGCTCACGCCTGTAATCCTAGCACTCTGGGAGGCCGAGGCAGGAGGATAGCTTGAGCTCAGGAGTTTGAGACCAGCCTGAGCAAGAGTGAGACCCTGTCTCCACTAAAAATAGAAAAGATTAGCTGGGCATGGTGGTGCATGGCTGTAGTTCCCGCTACTTGGGAGACTGAGGTAGGAGGATCCCTCGAGCGCAGGAGTTTGAGGTTGCTGTGAGCGACACAGCGAGACTTCGTCTCAAAAAAAAAAAAAAAAAAAACAAACATGTTCCACACTCTGTATGTAATTGCGGGTTTGCCACAGTCTTCTCTGCTAGATTGGGAGCAAGCTGAAAACAAGAACCATGTTGTCATTTTGGTCTGTGCATACCCAGTGCCTGGCATAGTGGCTCCTCCATAAATGGAAATGAGCGTCCCTCTTTTTATAGGGCACAGCCCATGGCCCCAGGTCAGATGAAGTGACGCCATGACAGCTTTGAGGACAGTGAATTCCCAGCAGTCCAGTGCCGCTCCTTGGAAACCTCTCAGGGGAGTTTGGGAAGCGGTTTCTCTCAGGCCCCCCCAGGGAGTCCCACCTCGCTGCTGCCTCCCACACTGTGTTCCAAGGGAGGAAGAATGAACAAAACAAACAACTCGACTAGTTATGGAGCTCTTATCAGGTGCCAGGCATTGTACTAAGCACATTATGTGCCCAGTAATTAAACCTTCCCAGCCTTTTATGATTATCTCCATTCCGTGGCAGCAGGCCGAGGCTCAGAGGGTGGGCGGTCCTGAAGGCAGAGAAATGTCCAGGTATCCAGGCCTGGCCCTGCCTTCAGGCACAGCATGCCATCTCTCCCAGCCTCAGTTTCCCTCCCTACATACGGCGCAGCTCAGCAGGAGGAGTACTAGGTCTGGAGTCGGGACTGGCTACTTCCAGCTCTGCTGGGAGTCAGGAGTGTGACCTCGAGTGAGCCCTTTGCCCTCTCTGGCCTCAGTCTCCTCTGCACAATGAGGGATTTGGACGAATTGGTCCCCAAGGTCCCCTCAGCCATATTGGTGGCTCCTCCATTGTCACCCCCTTCCTCTCACCATGGGGTCACATGACGTATTCACTAGTACTATCTCACAGCTGGGCAAGCTGGCGTTGGGTGCCCAGAAGATGTACTGGGGTTGCCCCGATGTGGCCAGGTACCCAGAGGGGAGTCAAGGAAAGCAAGGTCACTTGGGGTCTCCACAAGCTGCTCCTCGGGGACCTGAGGTGCTTGTGCAGGTTGTTCCCTGCACAAAGGGAGCTGAAGTTCAGCCTGTGCTCACCCTTTCTGTGTCTGCACGGAGAAAGGGGCGCCCTCTTGCAATGACACTAAGGCACTATGTGGACAAGAATTGCCTCGTTCCCCCACCCCCCAGGACTCCAGGAGGGGCTGGCTGTGTGGGCAAAGGATACAGAGCAGTCACGGCCCAGTAGGCAATGCAGATGAGCAGGAGGACAAAGGTGACCAGTGGGTAGAACATGGTAGACATCATCTGTCCCACAGCCCTGCAGGGAGACAAGCAAGGTGTTCACCGGGATGGCCCTGGCTATCCATCTTCTCAAGGGGCTGACCCTGGCA